TATGCTCTTGTGCGTTTTTTTTTTTTTTTTTTTTTTTTTACGTCAATAAAAATATATATAATTTTTTCATAGGATCAGGAGATATTACAGTTGAAGACAAATATTCGGAAGTTTAAAATTAATGAAAAATATGTGCATTAATGAAAAATATGTGCATTCACTTAAGAATCTCGGGAATATATCTGTTCGTGCGTGGCCGTGTGTTTGAGTTGTTATAAGACGCTGATCGAAGGGTTGGTCACTGAAGCGAAATGAGGTGAATCGAGGCGATGTAAGGTGAAGAATAAAGATAAGCGGCCAACGCGAGATGTAATCTGATTCGTACGTCGCGTTCCTCAGCCGTTCCGTGCTGCCTGCTCCGCATGGCTGAGCTTAGGACTGGCTGGTGCAACTTGTATTATGTTTCAAGTTGCTGCGGTTCTTGTCTGACGCGAGTTCCGAGGCTCTCGGAGGCCTCTGCAACAGCCTCGAAATGTCATGTAAGAGAGTAACTACTTCATAGTATTTTCTCCCATTATGTCATTTTATACATGTAAGATATATCTTGTATACATATAATACGTATATATGTATCTAATAGTATTTATTTTCAAAGAACAAAAAGAAAGAAAAAAAACCATGCATTTGTCGATTACTCGGATGTCGTTTTTAAGATCGTGGAACATAAAAAAAAAAAAAAAAAAAAAAACTTAAAATCGGTGAGAGACGTAAGCAAATCAACCAATTGCAGACCAGCATTAGCTTACGTTACGCTTCCGTTAGCGAGAATGCTGGTCTGTAAATGGTCGACTTGCTTACGTCTTACTGCTTGAGTTTTTTTTGTGTGCCACGGCGTTTATTGCATTCTAAGGTCAAACGATAATCCGCAGTAAAGCTTATTTAATATATCAAATTGCGCGTGTATTTATGACAATCTAATTATAGAACTACAAGTAGATATACGTACAATTAAAGATATATATATATATATATATATTTATAAATATAAAATTTTATACGCTTGTGTGTGTATGAATTTCCTAGCTTTACGTCCCAGCCTGTGCGTATTTTTTGATCAGATCAAAATATAAGACGAACACTGCAAGCTCTTGAACCAGTTTCTGGCTTGTGCAAAATTACGTGGTTTAGTTTCAATATGAATTTTATTTTCAAATCTTATTTTTTATTCAATTTTTTTCTGCAATTTCTTTTTGCGTACAAAATGTGTAGAGAGTGAGAAGATAAAATCAGAAAGCTAATCTCAAATATGTATATATAAAGACACGTTCGGCAATCGATATTTGCCAATGTATTAAAACAAATCGATTGGAATTCCAATTCAACCGCGCATCTTGTAAGTACAAGTGTATGTGTGTGCTTGAGGCACTGAAAAAAAAAATTAACACGTACACGTGTAAAATTTAATTGCAATCGATTCTTTAGCCAAGATTGATTTTTCATCAACAACGATTTTAAAAATTATATTTTTTTAACATAATTCGAAAATTCGTACACGTATAAATTTTTTTCGTTTAATTTACGTTCTGTAATATTTTTTTCGAATACGTAAGATACGCATGTGTGTTGTAAAATTTAGGATCTCACAGTGGAGACGAACTGGAAACACTACAGAATGAGGCCGTAGCGCGACCTATCCATCGATGTCCTTTTTATTAGCACGGAACAAAGATGTGCTCCATTTAGTGACGTCGGCAGTGTGGTCCCGGTTGTCAGGGGAACCTACGGGCATGCAGCGTCGCGAGGACTTTAATCGCGCGTCGAAACCCGGCGTGGTACGGAGTACAATTCTCTTCATCCTTACTGCGGAAACGAACGGTCACGGCGTTCCACAGGGATTCCCCGTGAAATTAAAACACGAAAGCGATTTTCGCGCTCTCTGCCATTTGAAAATTAAAAATTCGCCGTTATTTGCAGTGGCCGATTCGATTCTCGCCGTGTAATTTCTCGCCTCAAGCCTCTCGATAGATCCCTTCCACCCCGTGATCTACGCCACTGTCGGAATACTCTCGGATTTCACGACATGTTTACAAAGATCCTAGAGATAAGTTGAGAATGGCTGCCGCAGCCCCATGCCTCCTCCATGGGTGTAAGGTGACAGCTGCCTGCGCCTGCGTTACATGCACACACAGGGTGTCCTCGCCGAAAATCACGTCTCTCTCTCAATAATGAACTCGAGGATCTATCTCACGATTGTAAAACTTAATCCGCGCTATAATTTTAACATCAATTGAATTAAAAATACTCGTCGGAAAGAACGGAACATTTTGCTCTTGAAAATTGAAAAAAAAAAAAGGAAAACTGATTTTTTTTCAGAACGTTTTGCTCTAAGTTCAGTTTGTTTCTACCGAGTGATGTAACGCAAATTCCAAAACTTCCTTAAAACGCTTTAAAAAAAGTCGAGTTGAGCGTGCAAGTCGAATAAACAACTTCGACAACTCTCGCGTTTTTTCTACAACAAAATCATATCGCGTTTAAACTATCTAAAAAAATTCTCGATCGAGCCGATAAAATTTTGCGTGACTTACGTCACTGTGGTCCGTGCACCACTTTCGAACTATCTCAAGAAACGTTTCAGTCTCGATTTCAATTATTAAATTCTATATCGATTCGCGGACAAGAGAAATTAGTTTTATCGATTACGAATGGAGGTTCTCTCAACCAATTTATGATCGATTTTCAAGATATATTTGTCTCGGCCGATTATAAGTAAAGCGTTTGGGGTGCATTCGTTGATCTTAAGGGGTGTCGACAAGACACCCCTTATAAAGGAAGAGAGAAAGCATGTTAGTACACAGTCACTCATACAGCTACGTTCTCGCTGTGTATGTACGTCTGTCCCTCGACGGACACACACACACACACACTTCGGTAAAACCGGGGAGAGAGATATCTTAGCTATGGTTTCTGAAACTCACCCGCGGGATCCTCCTCTCTCTGTGTGTGTGTGTGTGTGTGCCATCACTTCTGCAAAACCCCACTTGAAGTGTGTGTCGCGTGTGCGTTTGAAAAGGCGCACATTAACTTGGTTTCTTTTATCATCAGTGGAATTCGATCAGTAAATTTGTGCTTTTGATTTTATTTTATTTTTGAAACAAAATTTTATTTTAATGAGAACTACGTATCTTCGTCGTAATACACGAAAAAAATGCGATATCTCTTCAATCTTCTTCTGATTTTCATCAGCGAATACATCCATTAACCCTTCCACAACGAGATAAACTTGACATAGTGATTCATGATAATACCTCGTGGATCTTCAAAGACACTCAAGAGAGAGAGAGAGAGAGAGAGAGAGAGAGAGGGAGAGATAAATGATTATGATCGATTACTACTATTTTCCGGGAACTCTCCATAAAATTATTCTCCCCACATTCACATCTCGAGTGTTGTGCAAATGCTCTGACATTACTTTGGATTAACAAAGTAAGTAACTCTTGATTTGCTAAAAATTTACTTATATATCAACATATGTATTCTTTTACTATCTATTTGTTTAAGCTGTCAACTTTTTCAAGATTCCATTTTATTTAATTTAAATCCTCCCTCAAGTACGTTTATTAAAGAAAGCTGAGAGGAGACGCGCGTATCTCAGCTGTTTATGTTAAATGTAATCTCTCGAAGACTATACATCCCGTGGATTAAAACCGATAACGTTATCAATGACTCGGTCGATTAATTGTGACAATAGAAAGCGCGAACTGAAAGACACTCATATACACGCCCTTATGCTCTTGTGCGTTTTTTTTTTTTTTTTTTTTTTCTAAGGTTTGCACGTGTAGCTGGGTGGTCGTTACACACGCGTGCACCATGTGTGCACACTTTCAAGGTAGAGCTTCCCGCATACCCGTAGAGACTGGACTAAATCTTGTTCTCTATCTCTCTCTCTCTCTCTCTCTTCCTACGGTCCGGCCCCTCTTTTTCTCCATCTTTCCTTCCTTTTCTCTTCCTCTCCTTGCTTGCACGAAGAAAGAGCTCTCATGCCATTATATCATAAAGGTACCACCAACCACCATCGTTCCGCCATCTCTTCAGCAACGTGCGGTTGCGACCGGCCCACAGCATGTGTCGACGCCATGTCTACCGCCAGCACGTCTCTCTTTATTGCAACATATTGCTGTCTCTCCGTGAGCCAAGTGACTTCTCCGGGAAACGCAATAACATCCGTCGCACGTTAGAATCGATACTTATTTTGCGAGAGTGGCAGCATGTATATATATATATATATATATATATACATATATATATATATCTGTCGTCTATGCTTCTGAGAAACGCGAGAGTCGCGTAAGTCCTTCGAGAACGGCAGTCAAAAATTGGATTCGCGCGGAAAACTCGCTGACGACCGATGATGGAAACGGAAACTCGCGCGGAGAATTAGGGGAGGCACGTTTATTGTTTTCGATGAAAAGAGAGGACCGATCTCTCTTTTCCGCAAACGCGAAGAGATCCCTCGATGATTGACGCACCGTGAAAACGTGAAAAATCGAAGGGAGAGAGAGGCTTGTGGATTAGAGTCGCGCGACCCTCGCTATTATGTAAAAGCCTTCTTTGTCGTTTATCATCGATCAAGATGTCGATCGTTGCATTTTCTCCGAATATATATCCACGTTCTCGCAAACGGTGGATTTTGCTCTTTTTAGAGCAAAACATTTTTCTCAGAAAAAAAAAAAAAAAACGTTACGTTGATGTATCGAAAACAGAGAGAATATCCACTGTTTATCTTGAAAATAAATGCACACATATATAGCGCGCAACAATCAAGCGTACATGTAAGTTGTCGACACGCCCGCGAGCCACGAAGTAATACTTACTCTGAAACAATTGCAAACAAAGCATTTAAGAGCGAAGCGCTCGGAACGGAAAAGTTTCTCGAGATGCTTTCATGGTAACGTTAGCAGGACTTTTAACGAAATTTGAGAGTCCATCAAGCTGGTGGAAAACGCACAATGGATGTGCCGGCACCGGGATACAGAAAATTATATTGTCGTCCATGTCGCTTCTCATTTTTGTTATCGCTCTGTTGAAAATGCAACAACTCACTCCAGGTGGTCGCACTTACATTAGCCGCAAAAAGGTTTTCAAGTCCAACCCCATCCGCGAAATATATAAAATTCATCTTGAAAAAAATATAAAATATAAATCGAAAAATTTAAAAGAATGTCGGTAACACGTATTCTGTAAATCTCGAATTTTTTTTTTAAACTAACATATTTGGTAGAATATTTCTCCCTTTTTCAATCTTTCATCTATTTCTTTTAAAACCGACTTTATCGTCAAATTTTTTCTTCACGAACAATCGAATTGATTTCCCGCAAGAGTCGCGATAATAAATATGTGCGCGACGAAAGTAGAAATTACTCATCACAATTTTAAAAAACTAATTCAATTTCCGTCACTTCATCTTTGCTCGTTTGCTTTTTGCGAGGAGCGAGTTTTCTGAATTTTAAGGGGTTGCTAAAAAGGCCGCGCGCTCCCGGCGCGAAACCGTCTCCCCGTCTCCCTTCGCCCTCCATTATTTCACTTCGCGACGAAGGCCCTAATTTGTTTTGTCATGCAGTGACAGAGGAAGCGGACATCTCGCGGCGCTTTTATCGCGCCGTGATCGATAAAGCGAGAAAAAAAAAGGACGCGGGAACATTCTCGCTTTTTCCAAGAACCCACTAAATATGACATAGTGCCGTCGGCGTGGACCTCCCGTCAAGAATTCTTCGTCTCGTTCCGATAAAAAAAAAAAGACGAAAAGGAAGAAGACCGCTCTGTTGCGCGCAAATGCAAAATTAAAGCGTGAAATTAAAAATCCAATTAAATTAGATGCTTTTTTTTACCTCCATTTATTTAAAATCGTAACGAGTCAAGCCTCGTGTGTTTGTGTGTGTGTGTGTGTGTGTGTATACGGCTCTTCGAGTCGAGCGACAATTAAAATGCAGACGCGCGTGGAACGGAGCAACAAGTTCTTCTTTATTTTCTTTCTTTTTGCTCATTAATTCGTGGGATTCTGAAACACGCATTCTACGACCCTTATCAAGATCGTATCCATAGATCCCTTTAATCGCCGTTCTTTCTGAAAAACCTGCCTCGCCGGAGAGAAGCGTCATTGCCGCGCGATTCGTACAAATGAACGGTGACAGGAGGTGACAATTATTCCAATGTAGGGGGGTAGAGACTATCTTCTTCCCCCTCTGTCGCGGCACACGGAAACTTCTCTGTCTTCCTTCCTCCGCACACACCTTCACATCTCCCCCTCGTCTCACTCTCTCTCTCTCTCTCTCTCTCTCTCTATCTCGTCATCTCTTCTTCTCTCCTTATCTCTCGCGCCATCACCCACCACGCGCGCGGCTCGTTATCTCCTCTCATTCTAATTAACGAGCGACCTGTGCGCGTCCGTCTGCGAGAGCAGGACAGGAGGAGGGAACGCGAAGCGTTCTGGGTGAGATAAAGAAGGAGGAAAAGGGGAGCGAGCGAGAGAGAAGCGATTTATCGCGAGTCTAAAACAGCGGGAGAAGGACAGACCGCGCGTTATTGAGTAATCGCGCGTGAACGTTTATCACGAATGTGTATAGAAATATACAAATTTTTATTAAAACACAAAAGCAATGTACAAACTACAATATCCGATAATAACAAGAGTGGTGAGATAAAACAATGAAAAAGAGAGAGAAAAAGAAGAAAAAGAAGAGGAGAAAAAAATAGAAGAAAAGAACAAGAAAAAACAGAGGTTAAAGGACGAGAGAGGGACACACCGCGAAACAAAGAGAAGCGAGAGAAGACGGGACGAAGCGAGAGACGGGACGGGACGGAGAGGAGGAGAGAAGTGCGCTCGGAGAGAAAAGGTGCGACGGAGAGGAGCCAGCCGAACGAACGGACGACCACGTGACCTCACAGAGCGGGGGTGGCAGGCGACATTTCGCATGCTCAGAACTCCACTTGGCCGCGGCGTATCATACGCACGGAGGGGCCCTCCCGTGAAACGCGCCCGGGGAAACAATGGTAGCGAGTCCGTTGTGAAGAATCCCGAAACACAAGGTCCTGCTCCGATTGCTTCTCTTTCGTGAAACAGGGAAAAAAACGCGTTAAAAAACCGAACAAAAAGCACCCTTCGTTGCGGGATTGTTCGCGAAAAGTGGTAGGTTCCGGATATAAGTTTCCGGGCGCCCCGGGGTGCATCCCTCTTGCCGTAAGGATCTTTGGGAAAAATTATTTTTCCGCAAACGCGCACAGAGACACAGGAAAATATCGCACAGTGAAATAGCCGTCCGAGCAACGACCTTCGAAACTCCTGATCGAACACGTCCTGAACATCACGCTCGGCCATCGTGCGCGACACATGTGTGTGCGTGTGCCGGGCGGTGCGCGGAACGCCACGCACGCCTACGGACAGGGTGGTCGGTAGAAGAGCCTCACGATGATCCTGAAAACGTGAAAGTGTCAAACACAGTGAATCGGTTAAAAATCGGATTGTTAAATTGTTTTGCAAAACGCTCAGATATATTACCGAGACGACGTGTTCGTGCGCACGCAGGACACGCACGCAATACGAACGCACACAGCACGCAACCCCCGGGATGCTGTTGTTAGGACGGACTCGCCGACGGCTTTCTTGAACGTTTGTCGGACCACCCTATCTTGAGACCGGGGCTAGCGACGGGACACAAGGTGAGAGCTAATTTTTCTAGTTAGCGTCCGATTAGATTTATCGCATTTAATTGATTTCTCATAATTGATTTCCTCATTGTTTTTCTTTTTCTTTTCTATCGTCGATAGGAAGAAAACACAAAACTTGCAAGCAATGTTTGTTGTTACGACCGATCGCGTGTTTACATGACAAATCTGTTCGACGTTGCATAACGACGAGTGGATGTTTATGTAAAATTTACTCAAGAGCTTTTGCGAAATCTGAAAAAAAAACAACGCAAATTGAAATTGTCGATTTTACGCGAACCAAATAGTCGACCGGTTTTTCTTCTCCTTTTTTTTCTTTTAAATTCGTAGGATTTTAATTTGTGCATGATCGCGCGTAGATTCCGACGCGAATTCTACAGAAACAGAAACATTTATTTCATATCAATAATCTGATTTAGAGAGCTCGAAAATTACACTTTGCGTAAAATTTCATGTTCAAAAAAAAAATCTCTTTAGAAATTTACGCGTGCGAGAAGAAAATAAGAGAAGCGAATTAATATTTTTTTTTATCTAGCGTTTCACACGCGAGCGTAAAAGATAGAGATCAATTTTTTAATACCTCGTTTATTTGCGTTTTTTACACGCGCAATGTATGGATCTCTGATTGAAAAATTCACTTTGCAACTTTGCGCACGCGAAAGAAAAAAAACGAATCGAAGCAAACTTTTCCAACCCGGAGTTTTCCGCGAAGAATTAAAATGATCATCATTCGTTTCGGTGAGGAACGCGCGGTGCGCGCACGTTTTTCCTAAAACTGTTAAATAGGCGAGTGACTCTCGCGAGAGTTGTTACGCGGATGTTTCACACATACACGCGTGTAAACGTCATTATCAATTGAGCATGCGTAACTTATGCATCTCATTCGGCTCGTTACGGTAGTAATGTATTTTAATTGGTCACGTTGCGCGGTATTAGACAATGCGCGTTCTCGCGAAAAACCCGTTGCCTTGCGCACGCACGACGGAACAACAAAAATATTGCAAAGAAATATACAGAAAAAATAACATCAGTTTTTGAAAACACGAGAATGCGTGCGATAAAAGAGCAATTGCGTGAGGAGGAAAGAAATGAAAATCTCGAACGCGCGAACAAGAGCGCGCGCCAATAAAGAGTAGAGTTGATACATTTTATTAACAATGTTGATGACATCTAAATTCGCCGAATAACATTTGCAAGATGACGATGAGTATATATCGTCCGAAGCCAGTTGGAGCTCGTTAAAGTCTTGTATTGGCGCGTGTCCAGATGTTTTTCTGCAAGAAAGCACAAATTGATCACGCGTTGGTGTAGCGTAAAAATAATAAAAAAAAATTACTCATTGTGCCGCGCGCGCAAAATAATGTTAAAACTGTGAGACGCGGGAAACAGTTTTCGATTCTGCTTCGAGAGCGTGGGTTGCATCATTTGTTTACGTAAATACATCAACGCTGCTTATCGCTCGATTATGTTCCTCATTAGCTCGATTATATTCTTTCTCCGAAAGCTTTATTTCAACAATCACAACTGGCAGCAGGTTTTCATTGACTGAGCACGGTGCTCGCGCGCGTGAATTACCCTTTTCTTCTTCAGTTATTTCACAACAAATCCTTGCAAACGCAAATCCTTTGCTAAAATAATGAAATATCAATCGCACGCGCGCGCGCGAGAAATAATTTACTAATTTTAACAATTCAAAAAAAGACTGTCGCAATTTTTTGATTTCTTTTTTAAACGATTTAACAAAATTAACATGTTGCTCGAGAAGATCAGTTATTATTATTACGAAACTGCAGCGCGCGATCGGAAGAAAAGCGATGTACGTACGCGCGCTCGAGAGGTTTTTGTTACTTCGTTATAGAAACACAGCACCGGACACGCGGACAAAAAAGCTTTTGTCTCGACTCACTGTAGCCATCCTTAACGTTTTACTACTTCTTGGTTTTGTTTTTTTTTCCCCAACGACGGGCGACGTAAACGAAGCCATTAAAGATGAACGAGAAGGAGACGTTAGGTGGACGTCCTGTGGACGCGAGTAATGCGGCGTTCTCAGGCGTTCTTCTCGTTTCGTTGCATTTTGTTTCCTTGACGGGTGACGGGGCCGGCCAGACAGCAAGCTAAGCACGTTGTCCGCGATAAACACTTCGGCACAAGGCTTTTGTTTAGATAAGCAGGAGTGCCTTTCATCTCTCGCTTCGCTGTGCATTATATGCGACGAGATGAGCCACCGCGATATATACGGGGTGGCGACAAATTTGTGACTACCACAACTCCTGTCTCGATATCTTCGCGAAAAATATCGCGCCCCAAAGAAACCCCGAAGTAGGATTAGATCGAAGAAAAGAAAAATTACGAGATTTCGCGTATCAATCGCGCGTATAAAATTCATTTCGCAGATGTTGTTCAATGATGAAAGTAGATTTTGAGTGATAAAGAAAGAAAAAAGAGAAGAGATGTGGACGAAGAAAATGTCTTCTGAGAAGCGTTACACGACGACAAGAGATGAAGAACCGAGCTTTTCTACCGTGTAACACGTACGGACGACGTGTTAGAATATTTCGAAAATAAATCAAACACGCGATGATCGATTCATCAGGTTGATCGAAACAGTAGCCGAGAAGAACGAGAATTGAATAAACCGAGTGGTTGATACGCGAGAAAGAGTTGAGATCACGCGCGCGCGCCTGATTATACCTCGCGTGAAGGAGCCCTTGTGGCGCAAGAGATAAAAACAAAAAAACGAAACAAAAAAAGACAAAAAAAAGGTACAGGTTTCCGCGATGGCGGCAGATATGTGGTATATACGTAGGGCGGAGTACAGATAGACAGTGACTTGGCAACATAAAGAATACGTAATGTAAAGCGTTGCGGGAGAAGTTCCATTGGCTGGTTTCGTAGGTGAACGCCTACCCGACCGACCAGTCACTCCACCTCTTCGACACGCAATTGGCAGACAATAATCAAGTTCGCGCGCGCGAGCGAGTCCTCGCAGGTGTAATTTTCTTCCGTTTGTGCGAGAAGAATCGCGCCCGAGTGAGGGTGCGATCTGTTGCGGAAAAAACGCAAGAAAACTGTCACCACTTTACATTGTCATTAAATTATATTGATTTTATTAGCATTTTTGATTAAAGATCAAAAGACAACAGAATGTTCTTGATTTTTACGGAGATAAAATAATCTCTCTCTCTCTCTCTTTTGTTCGTTCTTCGGCCACTTTAAAATTGGATTTTTTCTCTTCATTGAGTAAAAGATTTTTTAATTTTTTTTTCAATCATAGTCTTGCCGTTCAATTTACTCATTTCTCTCTCTTTTTTTTTTCATACTTGGCGCAGAGAGATACGCAGGTGAATCGGTTGATTTATATATTTTACAGACAGAGTGATATGTTAACCGAGGATAATGATCCGACGAAACCAGCAGGGGTTTTAGACAATGCTGGCAACGTGTCTTCCTCGACAGAAGCCTCGGTACAGCACCCACGAGCCGCAAACAATGGTAGACAGAATATAATATAAATATATATATATATATATATTATAATATAATAAATATAATATAATGAAAGGTATTCAACTACGTTGACGTAGAATGGATACACTGATCAAATTAAATTATGAAATTTATATTAGCTTGATGCGAAAAATTTGTTGTTCTTTTTTTTTTTTTTTATCAAAGAGTTCTGTTTTTCATATAAAGTTAGATTTGTGAAGTAGAATAATTTTACATATAAATAAAGTTCCCCAAATCGTCTCTCGCACAAAAAATAGAATTTTAATTAAAAACGAATAGAAAAAGTAGAATTTTTATTACAAGCTTCTTCCGCGTCAATACAATTTGACAAAAATACTGGAAAATCTAAGTGACATTGTAAATTATTGAAACTTGTTACTATCAGTTATGTGTATAAAAAATACCGCATCGAAAAGTAGTTAGAGATATCATTTTTTTTTTTAAGAAAAGACGAAACACGCACTGAATTTCTTATTTGTTATGTGATCTAAATCCCGAACACTTACAAATAAAAAACATATTTTTTGATTTTCACACAAGAGACCGAAGTTAAGAACGAGGTGCAGGACTGTCCCGAAAATGACAGCGTGCCAGGTGGTGAGCTGTATATCGACGAGAACGCCGAGGAAAAGGAGCAGGAGTATCCGGATTCGATGGAAAAGGCGGATTATGGTTCCCTGTACGCTTCCAACCAATATTACAACAGGTATTACATATAAGAAAACGGAAAAACTTTTGCAGGTATAAAATTAAGCAAAACTATAGACACTCGCTCGACAATGTGTTTGTCACTTCTTTTTTTTTTTCCCTCTCTTCCTCTCTCTCGTCCTAGCTTATACAATTCACCGCCGTACGGATCAACAACAGTCTCGAAGAACGCATCCAGCTTGCAGAACTCATATCTAAGCTCTTACACCTCGTCGAGCTCGATGACGCAATATCCGTCCTACGGTTATAACAGCGGGACGACAACCTTTCCGAACATGGCGCAAAATATATCAGCTTCCCAGGTGACGATTGTCATTTTCCGTTCGAACACACACACACACAATTCTTTCTCTCTAATGCGAATATAATCTCTCACTTTCTTGTTTTCTCTTTGCCACAGAAATTAGATTATAGTGCGTACAGCAGCAGTTTGTACGCGAACGACAGGGTACCGCTCCAGTATTCCGGATATTATTCCGTGCCCGGTTATCACGGGCCGTCGGCTTCGTTCAACATCGGCAACATTAACTTCGGTAATTCGTTAATTACAAATCTTTTTGGCTTTTGTTTCAACGAGAAATATAGAAAATTCTACGTATTTCCGCATCTTGTGTCTATTATCGTTTTTCTTCTTATCATCACACCGAACAATCGCAATTAACATCCATTTTATGCGCTCAAGACTCGACCAAGCCCGCGCTCATGCTGGACCCAACGGCGCACGACGCGAGCGATCTGACCGCACGGGAAACCGCAAACATCGAAGGTGATACTCGATTCGTATATACCTACTTTGCTTTATCTCACATTTACGTTGTGAAATTAGGTTTGCCAAACGCAGTTATCTCTTTTCATTTTACATCAGTAACGTTTTGAGGCTTAAAATGTGTTTCATTTTTGTAACTAAAACTGTATAGTTTTGGGACATTTTGTTGTCCAATCAACTGTAAGCTAACGACAAAATTCGCGTGAGTTTTTTTTTATCATTCTCTGTGTGAATTACCGAAAAGCTGAGTTGACTACTTAGAGCAGCTTTGAATATTTTTCAATCTCTATTGAAATATTGCTGGGATATATAATCGGGTATTTTCTCCGTTCCCACACACAGTGACAGTGACGAAGCCATGCAAGCGCGGAAGAAGGCAAAGCGGAAGCGGAAACAGTATCGGTTCTGCGGACACGACGGAAGCCGGGCCCGAGCGTATATTCATTTGGGACCTCGACGAAACCATAGTTGTGTTTCACTCCTTGTTAACCGGACAGTTCGCCACCAAGTACGAGAAGAACCAGGGTCCTCTGGCTCAGGTGGCGTACAGGCTGGAGGAGATGATATTCAATCTGGCAGATACGCATTTCTTCTTCACTGATATTGAGGTGACGTGTGGGAGTGGATCTCAAAAAAAAAAAAATCCTTTTCGCTGCAATTTCAATTTGAAGAGCGAAGATCTAGGATTTAGAATCTATAGCTTAATTATTCAATTGGCATGATTTCTTTTCGCAGGAGTGCGATCAAGTGCATATAGACGACGTCTCGTCGGACGACAATGGTCAGGACTTGTCGTCCTACAACTTCGCGACCGACGGTTTCCAGAGCGCGTCCGCCAACAATGGTATCTGCCTTGCTTCTGGCGTGCGGGGTGGCGTCGATTGGATGAGGAAGTTAGCATTTCGTTATCGCAAGATCAAAGAGATCTACTGCAATTATCGCAACAACGTGGGCGGTCTACTGGGCGCGAAGCGCGAACAATGGATGCAACTGCGCACCGAGCTCGAAGTGTTGACCGACAACTGGCTGACGTCGGCTGTCAAGTGTCTGAACATCATCAACAAGAGGAGCCACTGCATCAACATCCTGGTTACGACCACGCAGCTGGTTCCCGCGCTCTCCAAGGTCCTGCTCTTCGGCATCGGCGGAACATTTCCTATAGAAAATATATATTCAGCTGCCAAAATCGGTAATTGAGAATTTTCTTCGAGAAAAATCTCCCAAGAGAACTTTCTGAATTGCGAAGTTGTCAAAATTACCCGTTTACGGTTTTTGGTTTCAGGAAAAGAGAGCTGTTTCGGCAGGGTAGTCGCCCGATTCGGCCGTAGGTGTACGTACGTGGTGATAGGAGACGACTCGGACGAGGAAATGGCCGCGAAGGCGCATAACTTTCCTTTCTGGAGGATAAACAGCCATACGGACATTCAAGCCCTGTACAAGGCCTTAGACATGGGGTTTCTATAAATTAAAACAAAGTGTGGCTTCAGTTTTTTTTCTATGATTTTCAAATCGCACAGCGTCTGTGCAACTTATAGCAACAAGACTACATGCTTAATTATTCTTTTTTCTTCCTTTTTTTCCGGAAGAAAAAGCTCTTGTCATTTCTTTAATAACTTGTAGTGTGTAATATAAACAAAAAAATTAGCACTCTCGTATGATGTTCTCATATGGCTGTATTCGAAATAATTCCGTGAACTCGGTCGGGCGCCTCGTCTGCAAGTGATATAGTATGAAAGTAAGATTTTTAGTGATAACGCGAGCTATGAAAATTCGAAATGTATAAGAATTTGTATGTATAATAAATTTTTTTTTTGAAGGGGGGAGGAGAGAAAGACACGATTCTAGTGGCAACTCTTAGTCCGTGTATTATATATATAAAACCAAAAAAAAAAAGGAATCTTGTGAAAAGTATAACGAAAAAAATTAATATACCTTATATATGTGTATGTGTATATATAGGTATATACATATACATATACGCGCGTTTCACATTTCGTTATCATTGTACTTAAAACGCACCAAGTTTGCATATTTGTTTTCAACGACAGAATTGAGTGGTTTTTATTATTGTTATGTAATAACAATTTATTAATTGCCTTTGTGTTCGTCACACCACATGTATGTTTTACATTCCTTACAATTTTTATACTACGAGAGAAAGAGAGAGAGAGTAACATATAGTTAGTAAGCGGTACACATATTGATTATGTATATTTTGAAGATATCCATATCAAATTCCACACATATATATATATATATACATTACACGTCACTCTTACTGGACACAAATGCACTACTAAGAAGTATTTATACATTTGTAAAAAAATATATATTATATAGTTATATAACTATATATATTTTGGAATTGTACAAGACTATATGACAAACAACAACAAAAATGCATTAATATAATAAAAGAAGGGAACGAATTAGTATAGTTGCTAATTGCGGTTGGCATTGTTATGTGTAAAGACAGTTTATAGAAATTTTCTGAATATATCGTATTTGATTCGTTGAAGCTATATATTAATAAAAATATAATTGAAAGTATAAAAAACACATATGCAACGATATGCAGCGTATGTGTATGTCAAAGAGGATGCGAAAATGCAAAATATGTTTTGATCCGTCTCTTTGTCTCTTATTTAAAATCAGCATGGGATATTAGTGTTTCATGATATATCAACCACACCGTTCTTATGAAGTTACTTAAGTGTCATCGAAAAATTCTCGTTTCACATTAAACATATGTATGTGTGTGTACGCCTGTTTCAATCATGCGAATAATTCAACTTCCGCTTCGCTTACTGTTAACACATCAAATTTAAATAATAGTTTTGTTCATGTCTCATAAAACTGTGACTTTATTTGCCGAACGAACTACCTTTCAATATTGATGAAAATATTTTGTATGTATACAGGCCTGTTTTTCATTACAAAAATTAATTACAATTTATTTCATCTCATTATTACAGCATCTCCGTATTTTTACATATGAGCATTCTATCAACAAAATAATCACATTTTATAACGCTTATCGTAAAACACGTAAAAACTAAATAGCTATATTTTTTTTATTTAACCTCTTTCCTTACTTTTTTTTAATATTAGAGAGCTCTAAACAGAGTCTTAAAAAGAAAAATTTGAATCACTGTTACATAGTAACATAAGTGGGAGCAAGAAGAACTCCACAATTGTCGTCTTTCTGGGCCATTAGTATGTACCCGTCATTGCCCCAGTAATTGGACCAGGAGTTTTTGATCAGCCAATAACCTTTTCCATCCATAGTGCCATATCCAACGGCCAAAACAGCGTGATCTAATTTGTCCTCGGTGTTGCCTGTGCAAAAAACATAGTCACTGGCTGAACGACGAACTTAGTAATTTATGAAAATTCCTTAAATCTTACCACAAGTTGGATCATAATATACTCCGTTAGAATAGAAAGAGAATGTCTTGTGTGAGGCATCGATGGCAACAGAAACAGGACCGTGCTTGGCAATCGCGATCTTCAAAGAGTTTACATCGCCCGAAGGAACGTTGACATAGCCCGTGATCTTGGCTGTTAACGTTACGTTATCGATATGACAGTATCCATCCTAAAAGAAGAAAAGCGTTCTTCACATTTTTCGGTTTATACGCGCTACAAATTTATAAGCGATCATATGACATTTTCTATCTTTAATAAATATAACCGAGTGATGCCTGACCTGTCCCAAATAACCACCGTAATCTTCCTCTGTGGGTAAACCACCATGTTTCATAATAAACTTATACGAACGGAAATCCTCGCCACCGTCGCAACCGTTGTTACCGTATCCCCACGAACAATCGATGAGAGCCTGCAATCATAACATTGCAGTGTGTTCAAACAAAGCAAAAAAGCAAGAAATTAATAAAATAATAAAATCGCAAATTCTGATTCTACAAGTCACTTACCTGTTGAGACAGACGTACTAATTTCTTGTATTTCATGTAATACGCGCCTTCCACTGCTCCGGTGGTGCCGAAACTCCAACAGGAACCGCAAACCGACTGATCTGTTCAAATAAAAATATGTTAGTGTGTATAATTAAGTATACAAATAAGGGATAAAAAACATAGAACATTTTATATCATATTGTAATTCGTTAAATTAAATTACCTTTGACTGGCGTTACAGCACCGTACAACCTCCAATCCATAGTGTCGGGACAATCCGCGATTTCCTTTTCGACATCATGCGGGAACGATGCTCCGCCGTTGGAGCCAGGAGTGTATTGCTTACCTCGTAAAGCTTTCAATTCAAGATCGTTGCGATCTGCCAGATGATTCACGGCCAATTGATAGCCCAAATTAGCACGGTTCGTGGAATGGATAAATCTGAGAAGTGTTTAAGTTAAAGTTATTGCTATTTAACTAGTTTTGCAATATGTAAGTAATGTGTACAACATATCGTTGTGGCATAAACACCTCATATTTTGCCGGAATATGTTTTTACGATACATATGATCCAACTCGTTCAGATACTTCTTGTTGTGGGTCTTCTTGAACTTGTCGAACGCCTTGTGCAAATGATCCTCGTAATTATGAACAAATTCGCGCATTGGATTAAAAGTGTAAATGTGATTTTCGCCCGGACCTGGGAAACTGGTGCATGTAATATCTAAAAAACCGATAAATATTTTATTTTATTTATAAACGTCACTTTTTAGTTATCAAATAATATTGCCACAAAAAAGAAATCTATGTATATGTCAAAAAAGCAAGTATCAACTCCTTTACGTACTTTCTCCAATTTTAAAGACATCATCGGAAGGTTTGGTAAAGGAATACCAATCGTATTCCAAGTAATAATGATCGTAATGAGAACCCAAAAGAGAATTGAAACCTCTCATTTCGTATCTTACGGGAATGGGCTCCTTGGTTTTCGGTAGAGATGGCGATTTCTTTAAAAATTATTTTTGTAAACAAACGTTGCAAACATTTTACTTTACGCTGTGAATTTTTAAATTACTTTATTCACCTTATAACGTATCCAGAGTGTATACTTGTTCGTTTTTCCTCCAACTTCTTCTACCAATCGCCATTTTTCACATAACAGCCCGTTTATCATCTCTTCTCCGATGCACTGCATATGTAAAAATTATATTTTATACTTTGACAAACAGTTCTGCTAAACGTTCATATTGATTATCACAGAATTTATACAAGCGAATTTTTTCTTCACCTCCATTCCAGATGTATCAGGAACGATGGATTGGGTTTGTATCTTCATGTCGCTAGTGCCGTTTACCTCAAGACACATATTAACATTGGTAAAAGTTTCCGTGGTAACAGGTGCTACTTTTATGCTGGATCCGTATAATCCTCTGTCAGATAATTGATAGGTTTCAACCATTCCTATTGAATGCACAAAGAAACATTTACACGTTAGTCGCACATATGACACACAAATTGGTATTCTATATATCTAAGTTATAAAAAAAACAAACAAGGTTAAAAATAGAAGTTTCTTATTGTCTTCAAAAATACCTCCGTAGTAATCAATCCGACTACGTCCACTGTTGCCATCGTACCACGCATAAAACGGTTCTTCAATTTCTGCGTAAGGTATATGCAAAGTTCCTTTCACCGTGTATGTTCTGCTAAATACCGGAGCTTTTAAGGTGGGACTCGCTTTCGCTGCACAACATATTCCTGTACAAATTTGACACAATATTAAAAAGCAAATTCCTTTTTTCATTCTTTACAGTATAAATTTTGAACTATCTAATTTTATCTTTTTTGACTTGATTTTTTGTTGTTCATTGAAAATTTCAATATGGAGAATAGATACATTTTTGACTGTTTTTTTTTAAGTTTGTAACAAAACTTTTTTTGCAAGAAGAATAATTTTTACGGTCAATCATTTATCATTTATAAATTTATTATTTTAATACCCACATGTATGTTTTTCTTTTTTTCTTTTTTGCATATTACGTAGTATTGCATTAAAAAAAATTAAAAAAGACTTAAAATTAGAATTAAAACACGTTGGATTTTCTAAATTACTTGTATATTTGTTGTATTACATGTTGCACTTGACATTATTATCACACGTGCATTTTAAAAAGTAAAAGAAAAAAACAAACATATTTACATAACAAAGAACAAGCAATTAGCATTTAGAATGTCTGACTAACACTTACCAATGAGCAACAGAAGTGTGCTCATCTTTAAGTTCGACATTTTCGCGTTGTGTGTCTTTCAACTTGCACACAACGTCGGATCTCTGAAATGTGCGCGCACTGCCAACAAATATATAAATACACACAGTTATCTGAAGTTTTGATAACACGTGACTCCTATATGATTATACAAAGGATTATCCTTGACAAGATGGATATAACAGTCATCTCACGCATGATAACACGTAAGTAATATTTAAAGCGCTTGTTTCGTACAAAGAAAGAAAACAATGAAGAAACGATGTGGCAATAGAATATTGCATCGAGACAAATGATATTTATCGAGAAAGCGAAAGCGGCGTAATCGGTCAGTTAGTAATATGAAAAAACGCATCACTTTGATATTTACGTATTGTGAAACAAAGAAATATATTAAATATTATATATAATACATTATATTTTAAATAATATGACTCATTTGGCAGACAAATCGATGATTAAAAATATTACGCGTATCTTTGAACTAACCTGTTCGAATGCGCACTAGGCAAGAAGTTTTGAGCGGTATTCAACTATCAGCTGGTGTTAGCCAGTGTCAGCCAGTGTCAGCATTGACGAGCGTTTCTAGAATTCAAGGGTCATATGCGATTGTGACGCATGCGCACTAAAGATCCAGTTTTGGCTTTGATCCACGCGTTTTAAACGCGTCAATCGTCATCTTTCTCTTAAGTTTAATTTTAATACACAAAGTAAATAATCAAGTCTGCGCGTACAAATTTAAACATTTATATCAATTCTTTAATAAAATTTTATCGCAAGAAGGATTCTTAAGGACGGAAATGTGGATGTAACTTTCGAATAAACACAATCCAAACAAGACTTCAATTTTATCTTGTTTATGTATTTATAAAAATTATATAAATATAATTCGGAATATATAATTAATATAACTTAATATTTAATTTTTTTTTTATATAGAATTTAGAGAGTAATAACAATAAACTTTATCTTATATCTGAGAATTAAATACTATATGCTTTAAAAAAATTAGTTCTATATGATTTAAACAAATAAGAGTATTACATTTACGTAAAGCTATATTGTGTTTTTTCCCGCAGCATTGCATATTTCTCTCAATTGCATTTTTCTTATCATTTAATACATCTATAAACTTTTATCTGAAATAGTACTTTCTCTTTTCATTAAACAAAAATTTCACGGAAGACGTATAACTTTATGAATTCAACTTAATAGTTTTTAACAATTAACGAAAAGATTCGGCGCTTAGTAGTAGTTAAAAACTAACAATAAATTGATGAAGCTTTACGCTGAATGTTCGTCGCCGAATTGGGAAGGCGATTGCACGGAAAGCAAGATTCCAGGACTCCTGGCTGAGGTGTTTTTTGCGAATTATTTTACATTTAGATAGGGGAGTATGCAGGTTCTAGCATATACGAGATGAAATTTTACGTGTAATATTTACACAAAGAAATATGTGTATATGTATATATGTATATATATTCACATTTCGCAACGAACATCCAGAGTAAGGCTCCAATAACAATCAATTTACTGTTAGTTTAAATAATTTTTGACAATTTGTTTCAATCGTGACAGAATATTCTCGATCGTAGAAAAGATTTTTATATACACGCGTTCATAAAAATATCCAAGACACTTTACTCTTTTACAAAAGAAAATATATCAGTTTTTTTCTCCACTGGGGGATATAACGTGTTCTCTGCGTAAAATTAATATATTCGTTCTTATTCGATGAATTTTACATGCGATCAATGCAACTGTTGATACAACGACTGTCCGTCAGATACACCTTGCGCTGCTAATTCCGCGAGTGTTCTTTCGAGGTAACTCTGATCGGGATAACCGTGACCAGATGTGGACGGACCTAGTTCGGTTTTGTGATGAATCTCGTTCCACGTGACAACATCTTCGCGGCCGGTGGTGATCGATCGGCCGATCGTGAAGATTAGTCTACGCTCGAACGCGATCTGCAACAGTCTTAGCACGCGACGGCCGAGATTGTTATCCGGCAGATAGCACACTCGAGGAAAACCCACAGCGTAGTATGCCTGACCGGGATTCGGATGCTCATTACCCTGAATTCCGGACGGAATGCTGAAAAGATAAGAATTGTAATAAAATTAAACTTACTTAGATTATTAATGAAGATCGATTATTTTTACTAATATTTCAATTTTATAGTTGAATTGTTTTTTTTTCTAAAAATTAATTTAAGTAAGACTGTTACTGTTCTATTTACTCACTCATAAGTGATTTGTATAGTGTTGGTATTCGGAAAGCCCGGCAATGCGCGTGGTATTCGCGTCCAGTTCATCGTCCCCGGTGGTTGATTGCCTCTCTTCTCGCCATAAATCATACGGCATACAGGACATTGTATGTACATGGGTGGTTGCTGGCAACTGAGCATTGCGTTCAGACATGCCAAGTGCAGTCTGTGCCTGCATCGCGTCAGCTCAACTGTCAGCGGTTCCGGAGCGCCAAGACACACCGGACACGAGTCAGATCCGTCGCTTTCGACCACTTTGACATATTGCGATATCACGTCCGACGTGTTGTCCACTCCTATTATGTATAATTAAATTTGAAAAATATTTTGTATTTTAATAATCATTATTTGTTAGACGAAAATTGGAAGATAATTGAAAAAAAAAAAAAAAATGAACAAACCGAGAACGGAATCCTTGAACGCATCATCGCTTCCTACGCTGCTATCCAGCAGATCCACCGGGTTCTCGTGACTCAAATACGTGGATACGGTGTCTACGCTGGGCCTGCGACCGCTTTTTGTACTGCTGGAGTCAATATCCAACACGGTGTCCCAGGTCTTTCGCTTCTGACAGGATTCCACATTTGTCGCCGACGAATTGTTTTCGATGCCGTGTTTGCTGCTAAATATGTTGAAGTTGCTGAGAATAACGCGCGCGATATTTGACGGACCGTTCGTGTCCCCGCTTTTACCCTGAAAATTTCGTTCACGATATTCTCGTTACAAAGAGTTTATTTTCCAATATCAGATAGTATTGTAAAATAAACAAAAAAACTTTACTTTTTTGCTATTTTTCTTCGTATTTCCGGTAGACGATTTTTTGTGAGCTACTTTAACAGTGGAATTCTTGACTGTATATTGAACTGACGTGGATCTTCTTCCGGAAGAGATTTGCAATTCTTCCAACGCGACTTTGACCAGCGGATAAGGCGCCTGCTGTATGCGTCTTATAGGTCTCACGTATCCTGTGCAGCATCTCACTTGTGTAAGATTGCAAAAGTTGATGATGTAAGGAAAGCCCAGGTACGTTTTGGAAATGTCAATGGTCTTGTCCCCCTAAACAGGTTTGTCTCAAGTTAGAAAAGAGAGTTTTAAATTAAAAAATTTATTTTCTCTTAAAATATTCTTCACTCCACTTACTCTCGCCCATGCTTCTTCTATGAGACATTGAACTTCCATGTCATAAGTATGCCAATCATCGGAGTCACCTGCCCATTCCCACTTGGCACCTTTGCCAGCCAATGAGCCCGGCAGATAAAATTTTCTTCTTACATTGTACGTCTCGTCCACATCATCGCTGCATTGTGTCTTTGTCTTCAAATTTATGTAATACCTAATATTTTTACATAATAAATTACATATTATCACTGATTCTAAAGTTTACAAGTTAAGAATGATTTTTGCTATAAAAGTAAATTTTATACAAAATAATTTTTAAGTATTTAAAAATTTAATGTAAATATAAATAAGATTTCGTAATCACCAATAATAATAATCAAAAATAAATCCAAACGAGAGTAAAAGGCCAATATGAGAGCTCAACACACAAGTGATGGTGTGTAAAAAAAATTAATATTAATAATAATTAATAAATTTCATAATAATTAATTAATAAAACATTAAAATTAATTTAATAAACAAATTATACTTTGTCATTAAATATGCTCTATTTATTTCTTTCTGTCTGTCTCTTTCTATCTCACTCTCTTTTTTCTTTCTCACTTTCTCTCTTCAAAACCCAACATACACCTGCCGCATTGTAAACACAACAAAAGAGGATGAACAAGTGTATTCGAAACAGACACACACAGGACTACATATGATGTTTTCGAACCTGTCGAGATTGGGATCCGCATCGTGGAGAAATACTCGCGTGAGCTTCTTGCAATGGGCCCTCTCGAGATGCTGTGACACGGCCGGACTGTAGGGCCTCCATCGGCCGTGACGATTCTCCCATTCCCACACGACCACCGCGTGTCCATGCTCCTGCCCCTGGGCGCTCATCCTCCCTTCTCGCCCGCTCCCGCTACTTCACCGTTCACTCGTTCTCTTTCTCTTTCTCTTTCTTTCTCTCTCTCTCTCTCTCTTGCTCGTTCCCTCTCTGAGGAATTTCACACACACAACAAACACACACTTGCAGCGCAGCGGCAGCGTGGGAACATCCTCGTGTTTTCCCACGGGGTCACTGAAACGACGGCATCGCGTCGTTGTCGCTCTTGGGGACCGCAATGATCATAGATTCTTGCTTTTCTACTCGCGAATTCGATCCTCGCCTCAAAATTTCGTTGAGGAAATCCCGCGATTTCAAAAACAAAAATATGATCGATGAGAGAGAACCGTGACCGAGAACCGAGAGAAAAACAGTACACACTCTCGCACACCAACGCACTCCAACTCCGACTCCGATCAACACTGACGGTCACTGTTTTCAGATCACAGATATATAGATGTAGTATCCTACCAGTTAAGTCAAAAAAATTTACAGGTCTGTTCTTTCTTGTCTGCACTAGAGCTACACTAATCTGCGCTGCACCAAGGGAATTGCGATTGATTTGGTGCAGTTGAGGTTCATTGGCCAATAAGCTTTGATCAAAGAGAAACCTGAGAACGGCCGTCCTTTTTTTCTTACACCGCTCCGAGCCACTAGTTTCAGCGCCATGTATTTACAAAAGTGAATGTGAGAACTATAAAGCGACATCCGTTTTCAGGCAATAGATAAGTGGTTTGAGTCCGTGCTACCATAAACTTTCAAGCGTATATTGAGTTTGAATTTGTGTTTAGGCATAGTAAAAAAAACCGTTAATTTATGTTAATGTTAAGACTGCGACGCAGAAAATAGAAACTTCTATTTGACTCGCAAATTAGTCGTAATTGTCATAAATATTAGTATAGTTTAATATCTTTTGCAATGTTCTAAAAATTCCCGACCTCGGCCGCGCGGCCTTGGTAAGGGGGGTCACTGACCTCGGTCGTGCGACCGCGGCGGGGTCAATGACCTCGGTCGCGCGACTGCGGTAGAGTCAGGTTGTATTCACTGACAACACGTTAAATAAAAATAACAATAGCGTGCGCGTAGCGCGCGCCTGTGTTGTGCTAGTTTTATAAAATGCAGATTCGTATCGATACGAGCGACTACTTATCGACAGTAAAGTGGAATGTAGCGCGTACTCAAACCGACGATGACATTTGCACCGTTTGAGAGTAAATGTCGCTTTGTAGTTTCTACATTCGCTTTTGTGGCGCTGTGAAGCGGCCAAAAGCTGTCGTGAAAAAATACATTTGAGATGGCGGCTCTCAATGGCGCTCAATGTCTCGTTCGAAATATGGCCGCGCCCAGACGACGCCATGACAGTTCACTTTTCACAAGAGAATAAATGCTATGTATGCACATCTATACATATCTATGGTCGCGGGAATATATATCAGGTGCGTGAATCCACTCCAATGTTTCTAATGTGGAGCAAATGAAGAGTGTCGTGAAATATTAAGAACATTCAGCGTTACTAACGCCTTTTATAATCTTCTTCTCACTTCTCTATTATTTTCTGTTATAGAAATTTACTTTTGTTCTCTCTCTCTCTCTTTTTTCTCTGCTTCTCATTTATCAAAGCAGACGACAAACACCTCCCTTAATGTTGATAGGCTCATTTGTCTGGATTTGATCATGGATCTATATGCTCTCCAATCACAGGCGACAAACAATGCACCGCCTGTCAATTGCGGCGATTCTATACAATAATCATTTTCGAAAGTGCATTCGTATATCTTTTTTCTCACAAGTGTCTCAACTGGACGTGGCGACAATATCGAACGTGCGCTCACGCGCCTCAATCTCATTGCTCTTTCAATGTGAAAAGACAGAGACGAACTCAAAGCGCGCGAGCGAACTCAAAGCGAACGCTCCTTGCGACTGGCGTTCGGGGGGGTGGAGCGCGCCCTATCCGCGCCGCTATTGCCATCGTTCTATCTCTATCGCTCATTAGACGTAAAACAAAGATAGGATGACGCGGATAGCGCGTTCTCCAAACGCAGTCCGTTTGTGTCGGAGAACGCGCTCTGGTGCCATCAAAATTTTCTGTTGCACTAAACAAAGGCAATCGTAGAAAAAAACGAGCAATTTTTTTCCCATTTCCACTCTATTGAGAAAAAAATACGCATTCAGATTTTTCACCGAAATATCTTCAGCCCTTTCCCGCGAGTGCACCCGAGAAACAATTTAATCTCTTGAGCACGTACGTACATACGTAAAAAAAAATGTAAAAATTTGTTCGCGCGCGCGTACTTTCTCAGATAAAATTTTTTCTTCCGTTCAATTTGAATTGCGCCAGTACGCAACACGGATAATGATAATGGCAGCAGTACGCGAGTATCGTCACGTGCCGAAAACTTCCGAAATCTCCAGGCTCGCCACCGACTGTGCGGTGCGCGCTTCGACGTGAGAGCAGACGTGTGAGAATCACGCGAGTTGTGTTCCTCGCGAGACTCGTCGGAAAAAAGTATCCGATACCGAAGATCGAAAGTTCGGTTTATTGGGGTGTATTATTATTATCGGGTGTGTGTACACAGGAGAGTGCGGTTTAGAGGTTACATAAGACGTTTCGATTTATTTTACTCCATTAAATACTGGCGCGTACGGGATACCGGGGGTATCGTTGGAGACCGACGGAGGCACCGAAAAGTCAAGTCGATCAGTTTATTCGATAATATCGTAAAGATATATATATATATGTAATAATTGCAAAAAGTATCATATAATTCTCAATATTTTTCAGTATATATATATGGTATACGTGATATATGTGTACAAGTGTGAAGTTGCCTCCCTGCTCCTGTTCTATATGGCGGACTTCCTGTTGTGCCGCCATAAAGGGCCCGAGCAGTATACACACATATATTTACTACACCCCGTCTTTGATGTGATAAAATCCGTACATACGCTACTGGGACAACCTCAGTGAGGGAGAGCTGCTTGCGCTATTGTGCATGCGTGCAAAACGCGCATGATCTGGGACCATCGCGTACATACGTGCCTACATACGTACCCGTGGCGATATCGTCTGTTACACACACACACACGTACACACATATATACGCGCATATACATACGCGTTCGCGGAAGCACGCAAAGAGAAGCTAGTAGGGATGGGCGATTCTGTCCAAAAGAATCGATATTTAAAAATCGATTGTAATAAAAGATCGATACATTAAAATCGATTATTTTTGAAAAGAATCGAAGAATCGATGAACAACTAATCAAAAATAGTATTGTATATATTGTTTGAATGGAAGATAAAAAAGCGTTTAGTGAAATTAGTAAATATATAAGACAATTAGTAAATATATAAGACATATTTAAGAAAGATTTTTATTGATTTATTTGTTTTATACAATGTAGTTTATTTAAATCAGGAAATTTGAATTCCGTTCTTATTTGTAAATTCTGAAAAAATTAAAAAGTACAATTAGAACATTCTTAAAAATGCAAAAGTGTATTTTTAAGAGTATTTTCCATTAACCATAAAGTTGAAGATAAAAATTATAGGTATTAGAGTAGGAAAATTAATTTATTCATAACTGTTATTAATTAACAACTTGCCTGATAGATTTAGACAATAAATGAGATAGTGATGATAAAAATCAGCAGCATGCTTTCATCCACACAAGACAGCAAGAATATATTTGAATAAATGATGGGGGAAAAGGATTGTTAGGTTTTTTGGCAGAAGCTTTATGACGTTCTCAGTATGTTGTAATTAGAAAATATATATAAACCAATAAACCAAGCACCAAATAAAAA